AAAATTGCAGAGCTAATAAAAGATATACTTTACTCACTAGTTTCACATAAATGTCAGCTCCTTTTTCGTAAACAAAGCGTTTATGATCTTCAATCTCTTGCTGGATTTTACGACAGGGTTCACAAAACACTTCGTACTGCCCTGTTAAAAAAATCGATTGAAAAACTATATGTTAAAATCACCCGACACATGCTCAAAAAAAAACCCGAAGATGTTAAAAAATGCAGTAAAACCCAACAAGTTACGCATAATCAAGGTGTACCATTCCGTATTACAATTTCTTGGACTTCAGTTGTATTAATCTGCATAGCAGAGGTAATTCGTCTCCATTCATCAACAGTTAGAGGTAAGGCCTTAAATAATTGAAAAAATAGCGTTAAACTAAAATACTTTGTACACAGTATTAAATAAACGTATTCTCTGCTGTGGTGAAGAAAAAAAACGTTTTACACCATACTTTGCGTTCTACATCAAAAAATAAATACGGCAGCTTATGTTCTGGACAAAGTAGACACTGCTGACATAACGCTGGAATCGTAACATTTCTCGCTCCAGATCTGAAAGAATTTAAAATTCCTGATTACAACAATTGAAAACGCAGATAACTCTCGCAAAACCCCCTTTTGAAAGCCTGTACTATACATTTAATTTAGCTGAAGAAAAAACTGACTTGAACCGTGAAATCATGTTCCTAATAAAATCGGCACAAATTACTCTCGTATAATGGTTGTTCGTTACTTCATGAGAATTTCTTCTAGATACAGATCTGATCAGGTCACCAACAGAGGCGCGGATTTCCTGAAGACGGCGCTGTTGGTCCTCGTTATTATTCAGTTTGTTCTGCAAAAATGTAGAAATTGTTTTACTTTAAAATCTAACAAATCTAGAAATAACATCAACTTAACTTCCTCGAATTTCTAAAATGATAATTATTACCCTGTCCAGACGAAAACCATACAGAAATGTTAAACGAATTTAAAAATTGCCTTGAAATTCTCTTCACAAATTGAGCACGGATGTTCATCAGTTATCACCTTATACGCTTGATGAGGAGTGAATACATCATCTACTAAATTGTTCCACTCCCACACTTCCACAACAATGCGCCGTTCTTTTGTCTCATAGCACTTAAAGTCAAAGTTACCTGAAAAAACCTGTCAAATTACAGTTTTTCATAACAAATGCAGAAGAAGAGATTTGTTAGCAAATAAAATCAACCAACCATGAGTGCACTGTAAATCGCCGTTAAAAATAACATTATCGTCCAAGTCGCTCATATCATCTTCTTCATCCTTTATCTTACTGCTTAAATTCGCAGGCCTATTGAAATTGACATTCGTTTCCTAAATAAGTTAATGTCCAAAGTCCCAATCAGATATCTCCTCAAAGCAGATGACTTTCACATACGATAGCGGAGATACTCCTGGTCCCAACAACGCAAAAAGTTGAAATTAAAAAAGTAATTAGTTGTAACTTTTCTGTTTTCCGACCAAAGAATTACAATTCATTAATGCCTTACTGAAGACTACAGTTTACAAAATCAACAGTTTCCGTTGAAACTTCCCCTGCAGCACGAGGATTACAAACCGCAAAAGACAACATTTAAAGAAATTGTTTTGAAAGAATTCTAAAAGTTTGAATAAACTTAAGCCTTTTTTCGAAAATCGTTGCGACATCGAGATTATGCTTCTGAATTTTCGCTTTAGACTTTTCTGTAACTCCCTAACGTATTTTATTACTGCGTCATAAACGTTGCACAGACATAAATATAAGTCCAACTCAGCAATCAGTAATAGATAGGTTAAGCAATAGAAATCTGCCTCTTTACGTGCCTACAACCAGGATGATGGAGTGAATCATTTGCAGTTAAAAAACTAGAAAGTAAGAAGAAAACCACTTTCCACATAGACCGGCGTATCAAAAAATTTCTAGAAGATAGCTGGCGACTGAATGCTGAGGAAATACGAAGAAAGGTGGAAGAACAGGTCAAAACGTCAAGAACAGGTCACAACACTGTTAGGGCCGTACAGACATGCCTGTGTGAATTTTTTACATACGCATTTTAGGGGGAAGAAACCATTCGTTTCATCTAAGAACTGAAAGCTTCAAACGCAGTTTGCCAAGAATCAGATTTAATATACAGATGCTGAATAGTAACAGGTGATCTTCAGTGACGAGACTATGTTTCATTTAAAAAAGAGTGGTGATCAGATCTTCATTAAGAGGAGAACACGTGAAAAGCCTGATCCTGGTTCTACTGAGGGTAGTTAAAGTTCATGAGCGAATCAGACACAGTATAGAAACCTATAAGCTGACACTGCTCAGAAGCAACTTTTCCTGTCAAGGAAATCCCTGATTTCCACAATCTAGCCAGAAAATGTCTTCACTGTACACAGTGAAGACATTTTCTGAGAACTGAATACCACTTTAAGAACACCAGAAACGCACTTCAGCTAGTAATCACCGGATGAGTGAGGAATTACAGAACTGTTCCTGAATGGCTGCCGCAAAGACTAGAACTACGCCCAGCAGAAATTTAACGAGGAGATTTGCCTTTTTAAACCAAAGAGGAAAAAACGGGGGATATCCAAGAGTTTGTGGAAGTAACTTAGGAAGGTCGGTGTAAAATATTAAAGGATAAATGTAAGCATTTAAAAGGTTCGATGAGGAAAAAATTGAAGGAGATTGTGAATCAAAAGGGTTACCCAATGAAATACTCATTCTTTTCAACTGTGCTATATTTTTATAATTGTTAATTTTTTTATTTTTTAAATACAATTCTGAAGCCGCTGTCGAAAACTTGCTTTCCACCGTTTTAGAATTTAAAGTCTGTGTATAGCAATTTTACATGTAAAAATAGTATTCGTTTTCTTTACATAACTCATGAGCATGCGATTTTAAACTTAATAAAAAGCGTTAAAAAAAATGGAACGACAAATTTACTTCCTATACGGAATTAGATCAGTAGTAAGTATTTTCTCTACCTATGCCAAAATTACGATCGCAACTGTAAACAGAAAACTCATAAGCATTAAAAAACCAACATTTTCATCAGCAACGACTTCACATGAAGACTTTTTTGAAATCCTGGTACTCAAAACATTTCCATCAATTTGCATTTCTCCGACGTTCAAGTCACTGCCATCTTCGGATGCTACAAAAAGTTTTAAAAGCATATTTGCTAGGTATGAAGAGATGTTTTAAAATCAATCCAATAGATTTCATACAGTTCATATATGATTTTAACAAAAACAAAAACACTTTTTAAGCCGAACAGCAACTTCGTCCGGGTAATGTATACGTAGAAATGCTGCAAACGCTAGGGCAGCTTACAATCAAAGTATAATTAACATACACAATTTCCCAGTTGAAGATGGAGTCGATGGCTTGTCTAAATCATTCGTTTTTTCTTCAGCTGCTGAGTTATCCTCCGCAAGCTGTAAAAAAGCTGATAAAAGACTGAATAAAATCGCTCATCTCTTTGAAAATAAAAAGCTCAGAAAACTGCTTGTTTTTTTCCACGTTTCACAAATTCATTCCTATGCCTCCTTAAATAATTGACCCCATCAAAAACTGTATTAACATAGACTGGTCAAGTTAAAAGCGGTACATTGCTATTCGTTAATTTCGCAGCATGAATCCGAATTAAGTACTCCTTCACTTTATGTGTTCAACCAGATATATCTCAATTACACCAGTTAAGCTGTAAACTAACACAGAGTCCTTGAAATTTAGAACTAAAATTGAAAAAGAAGTAACCTTTCGTCGTTTAGTAGCGTACCCACTTTCTTGATTCACTGCACGATCTGTGTAAGGTTCGTCGTCGCCGACCTAAAAAAATCA